TTCAGTTCCTTGTAATTTTACAATTATGTTACGGACGGTGTGAGGAAGGAAAATAGTTTTTTTTATAGGATAGGGTGACAAACGAGCACACAGTCCACCTGATGGTAAGTGGTTGCTGTGACCAATAGACATCTACATCTATCCTCGTTTGCGATTCAAAATGCAGATGCGTTGTCAGTCGTGAGGTCTAAGATGGAATGCCTCTTTTCCAGTAAAAAGGTCTCCAGTTCTCTACACTCACCATACGAAACACAGCAGCATTAAGCTGCTATATTACGCTGGTATTCTGTGAGAGCGTGGTCCCTCCCTGGTCGAGCCGACCAATTCGTGCTACAACTAAACTACCAATATAGCTGCAGCAGGGCTCTACCACGTATAGAGTGCTCTCTTTGAGTGTCAGGTTATCTCGGTGACTTTTTAACAGAGGTTCATGAAATGTCGCTGCTTGTGCGTGCAAATAATAATATAACCACAACTCTGATCTGGGAATTTCGAAAAACATTATTAAAATATTTGGGATTTTGTCGATACTTAGAAAATAGCTTTTTCAAGACTGAAACATTTTTAGAACTCTCTCAAGCGCGGGCATAAACGTAAGCCACTTTGTTTTACTGTAGCCCAGCAGTTTGTTATACTCTGTGTCAGTTGAATCACAAAACTCTTTCAAAGATTGACTCGAACGCTGTAGCTGTAGAAGAAAAAAGTTAGGTCTGTTTGCGAAAGCGGGACCATTTTGCCTTCGCTGGGGACAGCAGGACAGACAGCCTGAAAGCGGGACTGTCCCGCCCAAAGCGGGACGAATGGTCGCGTTAGTTATGCAGTATGTGACTGGGCTTTGTCATGAGGAAGCAATGACAATGTATGGGTTGTTTGAGTTCCAGTTTCTCCACGATCATTTGCAATTCTCGACAATGACGGTCAACTGTAACTGTGTTACCAGATAAGCTTCATCTGGCTTAATCTTTCGTTTGGGGCACTGTTCGGATTGCCACCTGGATCTAATCACTGTGATGAACGTCTTTGATTGTCCTTTAGGATCCACTTCTCATGGTAGGTAATAATTCAACTGAAATTACCCTCATTTCTCTGCTAGTTCCATACCGAACCATGTATCATAATTTCTATTATTTTATTGCATTTTACTTATATTATTTTTCGAACGGCAACAATAATTAATATGATAGGGATTTTTATAAATTTTGGTCTGGCTTTTCTTTTCACGCACGCATTACTGTTTTTATTTTTGCGGCGAGGACTAAGCGAAGCCCGGGACTAGGTGTTAGTAACCTTAAAAGTTCCCTTCGAAAATAAAGGGTCGTATCAAAGTTATTATGACGTGCATAAAGAATAATGGCAGAAAAATAAGTGACCAAAAATTATTGCGTCTACAAATAAGTTATATATAAAATGAGTTTTATAATTTGTATATGATTTTTCAAATAAAAATGTATTTTAATTAAAGACACAGAAAAAAACAAACATTTTTGGGAATATCAAATGACTTAAATCATTTTACTCTATTCAAATGTTGCCATTTAGTATATTCATACTATTTTCGTATACACTTTGCAAGACTACCAACACAACACAAAATATTTTTATATTAAGTTATTATTAGTAATAACTGTACTATCAGTAATAATAAAAATAAGTGATATGGCTGAGAATAAGTCTCTTACAAAGAATTTCCTACAATAATACATTATCTCTATCATAGTATAGTGCCACCAACTTATCTGTTCAGGTGGACAAAATTGGAACTAAAGCCGCCATTTTGTAAATGACATTTCGCTGTCAGTTATTATTTATTCTGAGCTATCAGGTGAGTGTTTTTAAAAAGTACAAATAAAATGCCTAAAGATCTTAAAAGTGATGCGCGACAGAATATCCTGAAAGTTTTATCTTTTACGAAAGGCGAGAAACGTGTACAAGCCCCAACTATACCATTTGAAATGCTGTATGAACGCGTCGCTGCCGCGACAGGTTTGTATTGCCAGATATGGAAAATTAAAATCACCAAATAATGTACTTGTGAACCATAGTAAAAAAAATATTTCAATCTACTGTAAAACTGTTGGTAAATGTTATGTTCCAACGCCCCAATTAATTGAAGATGCATTCCATAAAATTACACCGGTGTAGTGGAAAAATATTTGTAATCATATAAAAAACTTGAAAATGAATACCGAGTAAATTACTCGTATTTAGATGAACCCTTTATTATAGCGTGTCAGAGCGATATCGAAAGCGACTCCAGTGATGAATTATTGGAACCAGTAGCTAGCGCGGGTACATCTTTCAAAACACAAATTCCTGGAGTTCAGCCGCTTGAACACCGAGGTCACGACCACAATTATTTTTATAAAATATAAATAATATATATAATAACACTAATTCTCATTAATTTTAATATATTAACAAGAAATTTGTTTTATTTTATATTATGTGACATAATGAACATGTAGTCACCTATTTCCTCGGTGAATTTCTTAAATGGCAATAGTAAGCGCCCCACTAGCGACGCTGTCAACTGAACAGATAAGTTGGTGGCACTATACTATGTAACAATTCCATTTAATGTTATGCCAACACTACATAGCTAAAACAAAATGTCACTGTTTTTTTTACTGGCTTTACGGCTCTGGGTTCTAGGCCTTCTGAGAATGTCACTATGATACAAAGGCCATGGAGCCATGCCAGAAATATACGTTTATAGTATGCAAATATATAATAGAGATACAATAATCTAAAAACTCTCAATTATGTAGGTAGGTACATTATGTTGAGAATGTATTAAGCTAACATCAAACAACCACAGGACGCATGACTTTTTCTAAGTGACATAAGATTACCTAAAAGGTTCAAATCTAAATATCTTTTTTTTGACGCCTTCTCAGGACAAAATTCTTTGACAGAGTTATTAAGGGACTGACGCTTAACATTTTAAGATATTTTTGATATATAGACGCTAACATTTCTTCTCAACTAATTTTATGTATGAAAGTCTGCCATTGTTCTTTATGATTATAAACTATAAATTACCATAAAGCCCGATTTTTACAGATTTGACAAAAAAATAATTTGGAAAATCCAAAAGTGCCCGCCTCATGAGCGTTTCATTTTATTTTGATGAAATAAATAAATTGTATTCCTGACTTTAAATGAAACTAAGTTTTACGGATTTTAACACTTTTAATTTAACTTTTTGATTCCCGTGACCATGAATCTTTACAGCACTCCATGGGGGCGACTGAAGTGCTTGACTTCCCGATGTCATAGTTAGTCCGGCTACCTTCAGTTTTTGAACATTAATTAATATTCAAAAACTGAAGGTAGCCGGGCTAAAATCCGTAAAAATTAGTTTCATTTAATGTGTAGTCTTCGCGTAAATATAAGAAATCATTATGTATTCCTGATTTTTAAAATATATTATTTACGTGTTTTAAATTTAGCGCTCTATTATTTTAACGGTCACCTACAGGCTACAGGCAAAAAAATAATGATTACCAATATAAATCGATTACACTAAATATAAAACCGATATAGGCTGTATGGTACATTTGTCCTTTGTCTATAAAGGGCTATATGAAATAGGGAACCAGTTGATGTTTTATGAAAGTAATAAAAAAAACCGGTCTCTATAAGTAAATTTTTTCGAGAGTTATCGTGACCACATACAAAGTCAACATCTGGACGTCCACGTAAAAAAGTTTTCAAACCATTTTTTCAAATTAGCAATATAAAACGATTGTTATAGAAAATATAAGATTGATTAATTATTACGTAATTAATATTGATTATTGTACTTAAATGATAATATGATACGGCTACTCATATTATCGTATAAGTGCAATATAGTTATGATAGAGGCATTTTAAGACCACAAAATTGCTTGAACTTGACGTGTCGAAATTAAAACACTACCTAATAACGTTTCGCGTTATAAGGCGTGCAAAATTAGTTTCAGGTAACCTAACTTCAGAAACGGTCAATGTATTGTTACGAAGTCTTTCTTTTGTTACATGTTTTTTAAAGATATTCAAATTTTTCGATCATATATAATGTAATGAAATAAATGAAATATTCCGGCATTTTTAAAGTCAATCATATTGACATATCAGATTTTCTTTAAAACTTTAAAACCCTTTACTCATTCGTTCGCAGGCAGCACTCTCCGTTCACGATGTCAGTATCATACTTTTTACAACGCATCGCTTCATCTGTTTAAATTCTGTGTTTTATTTGTGTAACTGTGCAATACAACTCAAGAGTGCAACGCTGGAATCAATCCTGAGAAGTACGGGATTCGTCAATGGACGTCGCCAGTGCAAAATTTAAATTCAACCTAATTCCGCAAATACAGTCCACTGATTTTTAAATAAGACTATTTTCTGTACCACCGATTTTCATTTATTACCTAGTATTTATTAGTAACCTTAAAAGCAGAGATAAATGAAGGAATGTATCAAAGGCAATTTGAAAGTGGCCCCAGTCACGGAAAAATAGGCATAGTATGCATAAGAAAGAAGCGTGTGAAGAGATGACGGCTAATAGAGCAGAATGGAAGAAGACATGCTATTCCTCCCCCAAATAACTTGTCATAAGGTAAGGACTATGTTCAGTCATCCGGTAGCATTCAAAGGTTCAATGTATGTATATTCAATGTATTGGACATTGAAAATCAACCAGAAAAATTTCATCATACTGAGTGCTCTTTAACATTAAAATTCAGATAAATTACATTAAATAAGAAACTATTGTTTTTTAAATGTATACGAACATTTATTTAGAGTAAGTATAGGCATTAATATAAGGACTGTAAATGATGATGATGGTGATGATGAAAGGCAGGAAGATAAGGCCAAGCAACGCATAATATTCAGAGAATACATTGCTGCTTCGGTATAGGGAACTTGCAGGTGACAATAGACAGCCACTTGCCATCAGGGGGGGATACAAGTCCGTTTTACACTTCGGGTTTATTAAAAACAAAAACTTACCTCCGACGTCTCTCAACTGATGAATGCCGGGAACTGCGCCGATTTTGTCCACCTCATCCAGGAACACGATACCAGTCTGTGCTCGCTCCACACTGAGGAATGGGGAAGCAATAACTTTGTGAGTCATTGCATACACGAAGGTTCGTTAGTGCAGTGCCTATTAGTAACTAAACACTTAGCGAGTGGTAAAGTGTTTAGAGGCTAAATGTTTAGTTATATCTTTGGTTTTTATTCCTGCAAGACGCAAATATTTTTGGTCCTCAAATATATGTATATTTTTTTCTATAAAACTGCAGTGACAAACGAACTCACAGTCCACTTGATGGTAAGTAGCTATTGCAATCCATGGACACTCGCAGTCAACTCCTAATAAGGAAGACCAAAGGTGGTGCTTACCCATACGGACTAGAAAAGGAGTCTTACTACCTAGTAAAATTTCAATTTCAGGTTTAAGTAAATTAAGGTATAAGGTCCAGCATTTATTTCCAAAAATTCTAGTGGCGGCGTAAAAAATATCACTGCCTCGTTCCATCCCATGGGTATCGTAAGAAGCCACAGAAGTAAATGAAACAGGAAATGGGCAGCCAGCTGCAACTTCTGGATAACAACGCGAATTAATTTAAAAAAAACTGGGGTTGCCAACCCGCCTATGAATCGTGCCGACTATGGGAAATTTTGTAACACTTTGTAGAGATTTATGTTGGCGGTCTATGTTCAAAAGGCTTTAAATAATTTTAACGTCTTGAGTTTTGTCGAGTCTACGCAAATACACACAGTATACAATAAATTACAAGAGCAATCGATTTATTTGGCATATCCCTTTTAATAATACAAAATTTCGATGACAATGCAATTATTTAGTACGATGAAGCTGATCTAATGATGGACCTGGATGCGGCGGATGAGGTTAGCAACGTCAATAAAGGCTTAACTTAATTAGATTTTATTACGGTTTTGCTAGGTTTGCTTCTAATCGATGTTAGTTTTTTTGGAATTTTTGTATCATTTATACTCAGATGTTTAATTTTGGATAGTGTGGGTTGAATTAGTTTTGTTATGGTGTCAGTACTTACAATTGTCTCCTACGCGAGTAATCTATATATTTATCTTACGGAAGTAATGTAATCGGTAATTTTGTATGACAATCGTGAGACCTCAATGACGTAATTGAACGAACTGAATAACAGAGGTCCCGGCGTGAGGACTAGTGGCACAAGACTACTCGGAAATAAAGAATTGATTGATTGACCCCTTTAACCAGTCCTAGTAAGGTGCAGTATAGTGGTGCTCACTTGAAGTTGGCGTCCTGCAGCAGCTTGGCGATGACGCTCTCGATGTCCTCGCCCACGTAGCCGGCCTGCGTCAGCGTGGTGCAGTCGCAGATCGCGAACGGCACGTCCAGGCACTGTGCGATCGTCTGCGCCAGCAGCGTCTTGCCTGCAACCACAATTCTAATTTTTACAACTACAGATCGAAACTCACGCACAGAGTCTACCTAATGCTGATGCTGGGAATTAACACACTACACTTTTTTTAAGAATTAAAATGCAAATACGTTATCACCCCTGAGGACTAAGATAGAATACCTCGTTTCCAGTAAAAGGGTCTCTGATTCTCTACACTCATCATACGATAGCAAACAGCAGCATTGAGCTGCTATTTCACGCTGGTATTCATGTGTGCAATCAAGTTTTAAATCACAACGATTCTAAAGAAGTTTACACTTCAAAGCAACAGTAGTCTAATGGCAGGGTACGGACCACGAACTCAAAAGGTCGTGGGTTCGAATCCGCCATCCGACTACTGTCGTGAACTACTCCTACAACGATTTCCAGTTCTAGAAAGTTGTTGTTTTAAAATATTGTATTTAAAATATTAGGCAATCTATGGGGGAGGCCTAGCAGTGGACTTTTATGGGCTGTAATGTATGAATGATTGAATATAATATAGTGAATTTGTTGTAATATCACAGACAATCTAACCGTACCTACTAGAAAGGTCGAAAATATTTTTTATATTTAAATAAAATGTCATAGTTAAATGGACAGATTATAGAGGAGTATAGAGGTGTGGTAAACTCATCCCATCCTCCATTACGTAAAATGTCCTTCAAACATTACTAGTCCATTCTCTAGTGGACATTATTATATTATTGCTAGATCAATACCAGTATAGATATTAATTAGTCGACTTCAAAAAACTAGATGGCTTACAATTTGACTATGTTTTATTGAGTGTTATGTGTGTGCTGTGCGTGCAGCGAGCGTGTGATTGTAGAGTGCGTGTGCTGTGCGTGTGTTGTGCGTGTGCTGTGCGTGTGTTGTGCGTGTGCTGTGCGTGTGTTGTGCGTGTGCTGTGTGTGTACTGCGCGCGCAGCGTGCGTGTGCTGTGCGTGTGTTGTGCGCGTACTGTGCGTGTACAGTACGTGCAAGGTGCGTGTGCTGTGCGGGTAGTGTGCGTGTGTTGTGCGCGTGGTGCGCGTGACTGACCGGAGCCGGTGGGGCCGAGCAGCAGCACGTTGCTCTTGTCGAGGCGCAGCTCGTGCGCGCGCTCCGCCGCCTCCGGCGCGCCGCCGCCCGCCTGCATCAGCTCTGCGCACACGCACACGTATCTCTCTTATATACAATATTACAATACAATCTATACACATAGCACCGGTAGGTGAAATACAATAGAAAACATTTATTTACAACTATAAAAAAGGGCATGAGATGGTGTTACAATTATATTAACCTAATACTATGTATAGTCTACAAGCAAACACGGAAATTTTCTTGAATATGTACATAACTAACCAAAAATTACATTAATTCTTAATATATTCATATTTCGGTAGCACCCGTATTTTTTTTATAATATGGGGTTGACAAACGACCACACAGTCCACCTGGTAGTAAGAGGTTGCTGTGGCCCATAAACATCTATATCTATCCACGATTAAGAATTAAAATGCAGATACATTGTCATCCCTCAGGACTAAGATGAAGTGACTCATTTCCAGTAAAAAGGGTCTCCGGTTCCCTACACTCACCATACGAAACACAGCAGCATCAACAAGCTGCTATTTTACGCTGGTATTCCATGAGAGTGTAGTCCCACCCCGGTCGAGCCGATCCATTCTCGCTACAACCATAATAACATAGCTGAAGCAATGGCTCTACCACGTATAAAACACATGTTACTGTGTCTGCAATTCAATCAAGTCATATGGTATCTAGTCACTAACTACCTGGTTGGTCCAGTGGTCGTAAACGAGGTTGCTGATCATAAGGTCCCGGATTCTCAGTAGCAACTCATTATCATGAAACTGGCGATGTACCATCCCCGTGCCTCAAATCGCACACAAAGACGTTGCTCTGGCGCCTGAGCTCTCTCCGGTCGTGTCAAATTACCGTCCCAACGGAATATGAGAAAGTATGGAAATAGAAAGTGCACTTGTGCTTGAGCATACACTCGAGCACTATTCGGTCTAGCGGACATTATTATTACTAATCAAATATCGGGAGCGACGAAAGGGGTTTTTAAAATCTAAAACTAAAATTTAATTAATACGTTCACCGATTTGAAGGTGGTTTTAGCAATTAATATAATTGAAATAGTCCGTTCGTACGCAGACATCGTCGATTCTAGGGAAGTTTGCAGCCTGTGAACACATACTCCTGTATGTGTACGGATCGCCCCAATTACTACATATCTCGCTTTAGATTTGATACACCAAAAATTCTCACTAAATAACAGAAATTCCTTTCCAAGTATAGAAATCAAAAACGATCCTAATTTCAACAGAGAAGATGACTGCGTGCTACCATCAGTTTGGGACCCTATAATTCATAAAATTAAATCCCAACCCAAGCATACAACGTGCGAAAGCTATGCTGCAGTTATTATGGTTGTAGCACGAATGGGTCGGCCCAACCGGGGGAGAACCACGGACTCACAAAATACCAGCGTAAAATAGCAGCTTAATGATGCTGTCTTTTGTATGGTGAATGTAGAGAACCGGAACCCCTTTTTACTAGAAACGAGGCATTCCATGTTAGTCCTCAGGGGTGACAACGCATATACATTTCGATCCTTAATTGAGGACAAATGTAGATGTCATTTTTTATATTTTTAATTTTATTATATAAAATTACAATTTATATATAAATTTTATTATATATTAAATAGATTATAATTTTAATCTGAATATAGCCGTGGTTAACTATGACATTGGAAAGTCGAACACTTTTGCCTTTAGTGTTATTAACACACTTTGTTACTCGAAACGTCGGGAATATAGAATAAGTTAATATACGCGATAATACTATAAGTAGGACGCCCCTTGGCTGTTGGCATCGACTGGATGCGGGAAGCCGAAAATCGGGCTAAGAGGCGCGCTTTGACTGTCGCAGGCTGATGATGATGATACGCGATAAAATCCGTAAAAACTAGTTTTATTTCAATGTGTAGTGTTCGCGTAAACATACAAAATCATTAGATAGCCACGAATTAGAATTGCGATGGCTACTCACCCACAAAATCAATTATGAAATTGCTCGTGCATGTTTCTCTAGTACATCGGTGTGTTCGACAAGCCGCCAACGTTCGTGGCCCTAATACAGATCGAACATTACCAACCACGCTACACAACCCACATACTAATGTCCTTCAGACCGAATTTCGGTCACGGCGGCCAGTCTTAACGGAGATTAACCATTTGCGCAAGACAGACTGTATGCACCAGCACAGGTGTACTCTCTATTCCCTCACTCTCATAGTCCGATTGGACGGTAATCCGACACGACCGGAGAGAGATCAGGCGCAGGACCAGCGGCTTTACGTGATATCCGAGGCACGGGGGTGAAACACCGCCAACTTCCTGACTACGGGCTGCTACTGGAAACTGTTGATTTTGAAACGACCCGGGATTCGACCTGGGACCTCAACCGCGTGTACAACCTTTAGATCAACGAGTCAGTCAACACATATTAACTACGGAGTCTGTCGGACCCGAAAGCAGGGTTTCGCGATACTGACACTCTCCCCCCCCCCCTGACCCTCGGCTCCGGCGGTAGGGGGAAAGGACACCCCTCCCGCCACAGCTCACCAACACAAATCCAAAGTGGGCTTAGTGAGTGGGGGTAATAATATCAGTACTAATTTATTATAATATTGCCACTGTCCCATCATCCCCTAATCTCCGACACTGCGTCTAGACCAACATTCAACATTCTTAAAAAACGTTACCTATTATGGTAACCTGTACCTTGGGGAGCTTACATACATACATAACGACATGGGAGTTTACGTACATAAATTTCACAAGGAAAAAAGGAAAAACATTCAGACCCGGAACAATGATACAAATACTTGTTCCCCGTCAAATCCCGCCAGGAACAAGTATGTATGGTCTACAAATAATTGTTCCGTATGGGATTCGAAGTCGCAGCCCTGCGCAGCAACTCAATGCTGACCCACTGCGCTATCACACGAATATTATATAAGAAAAGATATGTAGACTCGTAGATGACGAAAATTAAATAACTCTTTGTTTTGTGAACTAAGTCACAACATCCAATAACATTCAAAGCTTGTACTCGACATTAGAAATTGACAAGAAAAATTGCATCATATTATTGTGCGCTCTTTAACATTCAAAATCGGGTAAATTACATAAAATAAGTACCTATTGTTGTTAGAAGAATTGTAAAGGAGGATCTAAGTTATGAAGCCTGCGAACTTTCACCGAAATGACAAACGAGGTAAGGCAACAATAGAAATGAGAACACTGTCGTTCGGAACAATGGGGGCTAGTCTCACTGTGAAATAGTTAAGGACGTCCGACTTTCATAAAAGAACAAACTAGATGAAAGTTAAAGTATCGTTAAAGGCGTCATTGCTCGGCAGAGATGTTATTAATGTGATCAAAGTCAATGTTAAAGTCAAATATTTTATTCAAAATTAGCTTTTTACAAAGCAATTTCAAAGTCATATGCTACACTATCGCTTCAACAAGTTCCTACTACGAGAAGACCACCAGAAGGAAGTTATTATTATTAAGCGTAGAACATTTTTTTTTAAATTAAACTGTATGGCAATTAATTGCTCCTTTAAATGCTCCAGTAGAATCCGTAATTGCTCCACGTCTATTGCTATTAATTAATTTATAATTATTTTTTAAAAAAAGTTACGAAAATTTAATTTTGCTAAAAACAAAATATCCACTTTTTAAATTTAAACCGTTTGCCAATCAATTGCTCCTTAAATGCCGTCTCAGAATTCTACTGGAGAAGGTAGGGAGTAATTAATTGACATACAGTTTAATTAAAAGAAATAATCTTCTACGCTAACTTCCTTATGGCGAGGAGACATTGTGAGAAGACCACTGGACTGGAGAGATCAGACGCAGGACCAACGGCTTTTCGTGCTTTCCGAGTCACTGAGGTGAAAGACCACCAATTTCCTGACTCCGGGCTTCTAATGCGAATTTCTTGTCAGAAAAGCCCAATAATTTATGGCCCGTCCCGGGATTCGAATCAAGGACCACATAATCGCAGTCACGACCACTAGTTTACTACGTGGTAGAGCCATGCTGCAGCTATATTAGTAGTATAGTTGTAACACGAATGGGTTGGCTCGACCGGGGAAGGACCACGCTCTCACAGAATATCAGCTTAAAGCTGCTGTGTTTCGTATGGTGAGTGTAGAGAACCGGAGACCCTTTTTACTGGAAAAGAGGCATTCCATCTTAGTCCTCACGGGTGACAACGCATCTGCATTTTGATTTGTAATAGAGGATAAATGTAGATGTCTATGGGCCGCAGCAACCATTTACCATCAGGTGGACTGTGTGCTCGTTTCTCACCCTTATCTTATAAAAAAATAAAGTCCCAAGATGTACTCTAACGGCTAAGGAAACCTGTTGTTTGAAGGCAGAGGTGATCTAGATGAAAGTGTTGGTTAGGCCCTGAGTGGTGCGGAACGAGCCGAGAGGGACTGATTCGTTGCGCTCTCTCTCTTATCTCCGCGTAGTTTCACTTTCAGCGGCTACATTTTCGAATATGAATTCATTTGAACCGAGCTGTGAACGCAACAATTTGCTACTTATCTGGTAGGAAATTGTAGTATTAGGTCCCATTTTTCGGGGTATTCCCAGTGGTCTTACTAATAAGATAATAACCTTAATGGCGTGGTGCATTCTTATTAATCTTACTATTTAGTAGTCTTACAAGTAAGATAACCGGGAATTTTCTTACCAAGTAGGCCTTACTGGTAAGACCATTGGGGAAGAAAATTCTCAGTGGTTCTACTCTATAAAGTACATGGAAGTGTGTGTATGTACGTATATGTCTTTGTGTGTGTATGCACTGGCATTACCAGACGACCCGCTTTCGGCGGAACGTCCCGACATGTATAATTCCCACTTTATGGAGATATCTCGACTGGGCGACTCAACTGACCTATTAGTGACTTTAATAAGATTTCTCCGCAAAGTTTCATAATTATTGTTTTCATTGCCATTTAAAGCTAACTTACAACAGCCTATACATATACGTCTCAAACATGGACACAGGCTCCTGCCATTTATGTTGTGGTGATGGTGGTGGTGGTGGTGATGATGATGATTTGATGATTGTGGTGGTGGAGGTGATGATGATGGTGCATACCCCTGTGCGTGTGCAGAGGGTGCGCGTCGGCGGGCGTGGCGGCGGTGACGTTGTTGTAGATGCGCTTGTAGTGGTTGTACACGGCCACCGAGAGCACCTTCTTCGCATACTCCTGCCCCACCACGTGCTTGTTCAGATACTCGAAGATCTTCTTCGGCGGCGGCGGCGGTTTTCTGCAACCGAACGCCCCAAATTAATTTAAACTCTTTATATTTCACAGTCCACTTGATGGTAAGTGGATGCTGAGCCCCATAAACATCTACATTTATCCTCGATTAAAAATCAAAATGCAGATGCGTTGACCCATGATCAAGATGGAATTCTTCGTTTCCAGTAAAAAGGGTCTTCAGTTATCTACACTCACCATACAAAACACAGCAGAATTAAGCTGCTATTTGACGCCGGTATTCTGTGAGAGCGTGGTCCTACCCCGGCCGAGCCGACCCATTCGTGCTACAACCATAATAATACAGCTGCAGTGTGGCTCTACCACATATAAACTCTATACCTCTATATATTTAAAAAAATAGAAGTTTATACGTCCCGCTGCTGGGCACAGGCCTGTTCTCATTACTGAGATAGCTGTACGGCAAGGAAATGTCCGCCGCGCTGCCCAAATGCGTGTTGGCGGACTTCAGATGTCTTCGAAATTTTTTATTTTAATTTCTAATGGATGCCATACACGATCCAGTTTACCGTCCAGTTAGCAGTGCATCCATATAGACCACTCACGTTCAATGAGTTGCTGCGCTGGCGGCCGCGGGTTAGAATCCCGCACGGAACAAGTATTTGTATGGCCTGCAAATAATTTTTCACGGTCTTTTGTTTTATACAATAGGGTGACAAACAAACAAACAAACAAAATAACATTCAACAAACAAGCACACAGTCCACCTGATGGTTTGGTTGCTGTGGCCCATAGACCTCTACATCTATCCTCGTTTTCGAATCAAAATGCAGATGCGTTGTCACCCGTGAGGACTAAGATGGAATGCCTCTTTTCTAGTAAAAAGGGTCATCGGTTCTCTACACTCAGCATACCAAACACCTGGTATTCTGTGAGAGCGTGGTCCTTCCCCGGTCGAGCCGACCCATTTGTGTTACAACTATACTACTGATATAGCTGCAGCATGGCTCTACCACGTATGTTTGAACTTGCAAATTTATGTATGTAAACCCCCCCCCCCCCCACGATACACGAGAAAATCCTAGTGTGGTGTGACGTGTTTTAAAAAAAAGAAAGAAAAAGAAACAAAAAAAAAAGAAACAATTTTCAATTTCATTCCTTTAGATTAATGTGTACTTAAGTAAATCTGTGGTTCTACTGCGAATATTGGCATCTTTTGTGGCATTCACTGATGGAAGCCATAAGCCCATTTTACACAGGCAGTGCAATATATTTTACCAAGAGTAGTAACTATTTAAATAAAACCTCATGAATTTACAACTGCCGTCACTTTGCATTTCTGTCGGGGTTAATGTAGAGAATGCCATAAGGTATTAAGTCCACACTGTGATATTTAGTTTCAGGTGATAGCAATCCCATCAAAGCATTAATGTTTTGGTGGGATTGGGGGTAAAGAATGTGCAAATTCGGTGTTCAGCAGTATAGGAATCGACTATAGAACTTGGCGACCACCCAGATCTTAACCCTTTGAGGACTGAGATAGAATGCCACGCACGCAGCCTTTAATTAAGCTGTCTCCATATATCACGTCATTCACGCCTGTCACAAAGGGGTAGGCAGAGACTACGCACTTCCATTTGGCACGATCCTGACACAACTCTCTCGCCTCCTACACATCCATACGCATACACGCTCGTCGGTTAAGGGTACTCTTAATTTGGCCCATTTTCAATATATCGCCAAAATGGTCGATAAACTTTCGCCTAGGGCGTCCCTTCCCGACTCTGGCATTCACCTCTGCAACATAAATTTGCTTTGTCACTCTTTCTTCATTCATTCCTTCTAGATGACCAAAAGTTCAAACCCCTTTTAAATGTTTGTATTTATATACACACTTAGTGAACGTAATCCGCTAGTGGCTATTAGTCATAGATAATGCGGCTAGAAACAAGAAACAGTTCATTGACATCCAGCACAATGGGTTCATTAGCACGATGTGACAGTGAAGAGTTTGTTAAATCATAATATGATTTATAAAAGACCTCCGTGAGTTTAAACTTCGTTCACAGATTATGATGTGAATGAACTCTTTTATTTGTATATCGAACTATGGGAATTAATTACGAAGATTAAATTAATTTACTTACGCTATTGACACTTATACATAAATTTTTTGTCAGTCTTCGGACGGTTATAAAGATGACCGATAAAAATAAAGGTACATTTACATTACAGTCTATTGTAATTTAATTTACGATGTTTTTTATAGATTAACGGTCACAAGCGAGCACACAGTCCACCTAATGGTAAATGGATGCATTAGTCCATACACATTTACATAAATCCTCGATTAAGAATCAAAATGCAAGTCATCTCTGAGGACTAAGATGGAATGTCTCGTTTTCAGTAAAAAGGGTCTCCGGTTCTGTACACTCACCATACGAAACACAGCAGCATTAAGTTGCTATTTTACGTTGGTATTTCCTTCCCCGGTCGAGCCGACCCATTCGTGGTATAACTATACAATTAATATAGCTGCAGCATGGCTTTACCATGTTTAACGAGCCGTCAATTTGGTCCATGATCAATCGTCAAATCACATGTAGGGTCTATCTTATTATAGTAGATCTAATCGCTGTCCGATCAGAGGTATGCGAACTTCGTCTCTGACTGCTTAATTCGTATCGGATGGATCTTTCACTATCAGTCAATTGGGAGAACAGCGTATAAATAAATTTGAAATGTAGAGAAATATATTATTTATTTCTAATCATCCTAAAATTTATAAAATTATATTAATGCAAACCCAAATATACAATGCAGATTTTTGTGCGCTTATTGAATATAATAAATAATTTTCAATTAAAACGTTAAGTTTTTTTTTTATAACAATACGTCAAAAAACCTAAAGAAGAACTCTAAAATACTCTATAAATGCAGTGATCTTGACAAGTAATTTTTCTAAAGAAAAAACACTTCCAGACGAAAACGGATATTCCGGCAGTTCACACGTAAGCTGCGTACATACTGAATAACTTTTGCACAATTTTGGCAGGAACTTGACCGTCGACGTATTGTTGCTACTGTTTTATCGTACTGATTATAATTAAAAATTAAAAATTTTGTACAGCCGACTTCAATATAAGTTATTAAGAATAACTTAATAACTACTGGTCTGACCTTGATCAAATTCATATGGGACCACTCGAGAAGTATCAGCTTTCAAATAAAACGAAAATCATCGAAATCGGTTAACCCAGTAAAAGGTTATGAGGTAACACACATAAAAAAACATACAGTCGAATTGAGTACCGTCTCCTTTTTGGAAGTCGGCAGAAAAATCAAAATACACATGCGTTGTCACTAAGGACTAATATGAATGATGAAAGAATGCCTCGTAAAAAGGGTCTAAAATATTGTGAAGAAGTTAACACAATAATATTATATTGCATAATTTCTTATTACTTGCACTGGCAAATGTATAATTATGCGAGTCCATGACCAAAGAAAAAAAAACTTTCGCACAAATTATTATTATTTATAGCGTTGCGTAATGAGCGGCCGGTGACACTGCAATGTCACGGTTCATTACGTGATGCCTGTTTGACACATAGTTATGAAATTGTTAAATAAATAAATAAGCGTATAGCGGTGATGTCCTCCTTTTTATATAGAAAAAAAAATTACATTAAATAAAAAGTAACAGACGACTTAAGAATTTAATAAAAAAAATTCACATTCGAAAGCCGGTTCTAATACGTATTGTATAGAAAAATTAAAACCTCGACTGTAGGAAACTTTTAATTTTTTTCTTTTAAGTTGTTTGAAGTTTTCGGGACAGTGTTTCATGCCGACACACCATCTGCAATTCTACAAGGCACAGGTTCGGCCTCACATGGAACACTGTTCCCATCTCTGAGCTAGGGCTCTCCAGTGCCAGTTCCTTCCACTAGACCGCACCCAGCGCAGAGCGGCTCGAATCGTCAACGACCGAGAACCTTTCCTCGAAAAGGCTCGATTCACGGGTGCTGCGAAGAGATGTTGCATCCCTATGCATTTTTTTCGCATTTACAACGGGGAGAGCTCTGAGGACTTGTTCGGATTAATCTCAGCCGCCAAATTTCACGAACGCAAATCGCGGCAAATCTCACGATACCATCCACACCATTTGGATGCTTGGCGGTCCACCACTGCACGTTTCACTGGGAGTTTTCCTACGCGTACGACCTCTCTGTGAAATAGTTTACCACCGGCGATTTGTCCGGACCGACAAGACTTAAGGATGTTCAAGAAAAGAGCTTGTACCTTTCTAAAAGGCCGGGCGACGCTACTGCAATTACCCTGGTGTTGCGGTTGTTCATGGGCGGCGGTAGTCACATACCATCAGGTGATCCGTATGCTCGTTTACCCCTCTCGTATAAAAAAAGTTATATTTTACTCCTTATTCAACTAATTTATTTTTATTTAAACAGTGATGATGATGAAGGCTACTCCATCTTAATTTGGGCAAACTTCAAATAGGGATCGTCAATTTAGTTGCTGAACTACCGTCTATAATTCCTTTCAACAAGGAACACTAACAATTTAAATAGTTAATATAATCATCACGTCAGCAGCCTGGACATAGACCTCTCTCAAGGTGCTGCACTTAGGCGACCTTCGGCTTCACGCATCTGGTCACGGCCAGCCGTTTTACTCACATTAATGATATAATCATAAAAATATATATTTTATACATTGGTGTTGTGCTTTGTCCTCATTTTTATTTCTAAATTCTAAATGTTTATCTTATTCAATCAAAAACTCTAAGTCATGATTTTGTACACGATAAGCGAACTCCTAATACACTATTTCCATATACAATATCGTCAGAATGGCTAAATGTTGTAATATTAATATTACCAGCTTTCACCACCACTATTTCACAATATAGAATAGCGAAACTGTAATACTATTTGCCAACGTTGTTTCTTTATCATTTAATTATTATTTTATTACTTTTAGTGTCTCGATAGCCCCGTTTTTCTAGTTTATAGTAAACGCGGC